TTACTGGTCTGCGAGTTGTAACGTATCGCAGAAATGGATGCAAATTAAGCGTGAAATGTGCGTGGCAATGATATCCGGACATTCGATCAAGAGCTGAACATAATTCGCGTAGATAGAGCAACGCAGTCAAGTTTTTACTAATGGATCGTTTTACAGAGCTGCAACAGCGGTAATTATATATTTTTAAGCTACTGCAAAAGCCTTTATTCAATCGACTAGCCGCCTACATACTTGCGAGCGCACGTATTATTTCGCGAAGCGTTTGACTCATTTTCTACGTCATTATTGCTTTGCTTCTTCGCCGTGGCACGTAATACACTATTTGCAATATCGCCCGAACATCGACGTAGTTAGCATAATCGAACAATATCCTGAGCACCGCGCTTTCACGCGGGGAACTGCATATTTCATGTACGAAAATATTGCTTACCATCCCGAACGGAGCGAGAGCTTTGAAAGCCCAATCTACGTGCGCGCATCGGCAAGTTGATCGCGAAGCCCTCGTACACGTACAGCCCCGACAAGTCTAACAATATGGACGTATCGATCATGAGACTATTTTTATTTTCATCCGCATTACCGGTCATCATATTACTCGTCGTTTTCTCTTTACAACTGGCCGTCAACGAACTTTTCTCTTATCCAGTCGTCGAACCGGACAGAGAAATCGCTCGCTCTCCCCGTATATACGGTCCGCGCGTCGCGAGTTGGCTGCAATTAAAAGTGCATCAAGTCAATTTCGCTATTATCCAATTTGCTGCCTTGCCGCGCGCTGTCACGGTGTGACTTGCGATGGCCGTTGAGCGCGCGCGGCGCGGCCGTTGCCGAGAAAAAGCCGCGTCGTCGGAGCTAATGGAAAAGTCGTTTGTCGGTCGGCGAGAGCACTTTCATTTGTGCAGTTCGCGAAACCGGACGATACTCTCGAGTGTCCTTCGAGCCGTCACCAACGTACACTTGGCAACATTAATGAATGAAGGGAGTCGAACGGCCGGATTTTATACTCAACTAGATCGTCGTTGTGTGTACCAAGCCTGAAAATATCGTAACAAGACTCTATATCGACGTGTAAATCAATTAGTCGAACGATATTACGCTAACTTAACATTTAATTAGAATAACCAGGTTACACTTTGCCTATATCGGAAATTGGCTTCCATATTAATTATTATTTCATCACAGCGCGCTCGTTGCCGGCATAAAATCTAATAAACTAGCAAAGCCGATGTAAAATCGATACCTCCCCCCCCCTGCCGTGCGCTATGTACGAATTTAACAAACAGTCTTCTCGGCGCGTGGCGACCGAATGAAGAATCAGTCGGGGCACGTGATCGGCCGCGACGGAGCAGCGAGACAGTCCGTCGGAGAACGGTACTGCGAGGGGGGTGCGGCGTGGCGGCGTGACAGCGTGGCAGCGTGGCAACCTGTCGATCCACGGTGGCACAGACGCCAGCCGACATTCGACAACGAGTTACACTTTCCACTTGCCGCGCGACGTGCAGCGCCAGCAGCAGACTGATCCCCTCCTCCCACTTCGGCGTAACGCTCTTAAGCCCCTTTATTCGCTGTCGGTCGCGAGAGAGGAGGTCCGCCGCCTCTCGACTTTTCGCGCGAGTGCAGATCTATCGCCTTGTATCGCCGAGGCGAGCGCTTTTTAGATATTGCGTTACGAGTATGGCTGCTGCCAAAGGGATATGCTGTGCCAGCCGGAAGTGCCTCTTATACTCGAAAAGGAAGCGGAATCCCCCTCCTTCCTCTTCGGCACCCCACCGCGCTCATGCTTTTTAGGTTAGTAGAACCTACGTGTCTTGCAGTATTCGCGCATCATCCGTCATTTTTGCGAAGCACGCGCGCCGCATATCTCGCGCGCGTCTAGTAATGCATCAACGCAGCTTTTGAGGCTAATTTCTTTTTACCACCGAGCATTGCAAAAAATGAAAAACCCTGGGCTTGAATTGTACTTCGCCTACGAAATCTTAAAAAATTCACAACTTTCGAGATTCGCGATTTACGAGTCAAGGCTCTCGACTATATATCGTAATACTGCACAAGACTGTCGGATAACAAACGCAGATAAGCAAGAGAAAGAACTAATCGCTCAATCTTGCTCCGGAGAAGAAAAAAAAGATGGAAAGAGAGAGAGTGAGAGAGAGAGAGAGAGAGAGAGAGAGAGAGAGAGAGAGAGAGAGAGAGAAAGCAAACGAGAAACCGAGGAGGCATAGCGAAAAGAAAAAAAAGAAGGAAGTTATTCTGGTATAGTAGTAGAGTGAAGCGTTTGGCGGTGCGGTGGCGGCGTCTAAAGTTCTGCAGGCAAGCAGCAGTCCGGTTAATCGGAAACAGAGACAATTTAAAGCGAGCCTCGGCTGTTTCCTCCTTTTCCGGGCGCGAGCCAAAACGAAGTAGCTCCGACGAACTCGCGCGCTCTCTCACTCTCTCTCTCTCTCTCCGCCGCTACTTTAAAATAACTCGCTTTCTCTCGTCGTCCGGAGCCCCCGCCTACCCCATTATCAACCCCCGTGGCTCGCTTCCGCGGAGACACGCGCGCTCCGTGTTGTCCTTTTGGCCGGCGTGAAAAAAAAGAAAAGGACGGAGAGGGAAGCGCAAAAGAAAGGGACCAGGAAAAAGTTTTCCGCTCGTGGTTTTTCGACTCTTTTGCGGAGGGTTGCTCTGGCGCGACGATTTTTCTTTCGCACCACTGGCAGAGGACAGTGTGGTGCTGTAATTTTTGGGGCTCGAGGGTACTCCTTTAGGTGCGCCTTGTCAGTGCAGAGAGAAAAGCGCTCGCGGGAAATTATGACGCGAGCGTGCGTGGTTCGAAAAAGAGAATCGCACGATGCTTATCGTAACAAAACAAAATTAAAGGAAAAGGGAAATAAACGCATTCATTTTCAACGTTGCTCCGAGTGTAATTGGCTTGAAACTACAAAAATGTTTGATTTACAGTTCGGAGCAGTTGAAAATGTACAGATGTAAATTGTCGTGATCGAGTCCGGGGGGCCGCTGTCGAGTTACTTAGCCATTCGTAATGCGCGCGATACGTTTGCCGGCGGTAACTCATCGATCCCATCAAATGCTCTACTCTGCCGCTAATCGGCTTAAATCGCTGGCAAACAAATTACCTGTGATCGACGTTTCACGCAAAATTTATCCTCTCTCCGCTTGGTGCGGCAGCCACATGATGTTCCTAATCACTTAATGAGTAAGCTTGCCACTTTTCCGTGTTTTTCCTTTCCGTGTCGCGTGGCTCATTGATGTAGCATGGGTAATAAACGAGCCTGCCGTTACGAGCTTGAGCTTTATGGCCTTATTTACTTTCGTTACGGGAGGAGGGGGCAAGTTATTTTGCCTTGATGTCCATGGGCTGTGAGTGCTATTAAAAAGCACGCGGCAACAAATTTGGTTTACTCTCAAAATTACTTGAGCGACTGCGCTACCTCAGTCTTTTGAGGCCTCGTTATTTAAAAAAATATCGGATAGTTACGCTGTCTTGTCCCTTTTGGTATTTTAATGTACCTACCTTTAACGAAAATTGCATAATTCGAGCATTGCAATTCGGAGCGTTAGATTCAATGCGAATCAATTTTATCGCTTCAATTGAGAACGACTGCGTAATAATGCATTTCCCGTTTACAATCTACATTATATAGTTTCGAGGAATAACGCAGCCCGAATCTCTATTTTATTGTTGGCAATTACTTGATACTTATTTTAACAGATAATTGCTCTGCGAAACAGATAATTTGATTACGCTAAGATAATTCGAAACAAAGCTAAAATTTATGGCAAGCGACAAGAGCAATGCCAATTATATTATTTCAATTTAATGCCCTGTAAATACAATTAAATGTAATAAAATTTTACTGGCTATGAGCCAATGCGTGCGGCTATGCCTAGGCGAAACTCGATTGAATGTGCAATAACATGAACCATTAATTCGGTTAATTAAACAGAAAACTTGAATATTATTCACAAAGTTGAGCGGATGTCAAAGGCGAGGTAAGGCGATGTAAAAAGTCCAATTTTTTTTTGTAATCGCAACAGATATAATAAACCATATCTTTACAGAGGCGGATACATTGCGAAAGAAAAATATCGAACAAAAAAATTATTGACGAAATATACAGGCGTCATAAGTGTTCGCCTGCCGGACAAAGAGACTTCGTTGCGCTACGGCAAACCCTTGCCTTACGCAACGCGCTCTCAATTATTTCTTCTTTTTTGTTTGGGTCATTCAAATTTTTATTTACAAATATATAGTGATGCACAACTTGGAAACATGATTTGTTATTCTCACGAACGGCAGCAGTTGCGCATGCTAAGCAATTTCTGGTTTTTCAATGTATTGGGCTTCATATAAGCTTATTGGCATGTGCTCGCGTCCAGAAGAGTTATTTATTAGTATAGTGCAGGAAAAAAGTAAAAAATTTTTCGATCGAAAATATGCGTAGTTTTATAGAACATTATCTGACTTCCCTTCAAATGTTTTCGAGAGTACACTGTCTTTTTTCATATTATCGTTGTCCGTAGAACTGCTTAGCTATACACACGCACGCGACTGTTGTACATTTTTATTTCCTCATTTCTCTGCGATCGATATGCTAAATGTGTTAGCCGTAATAAAAACTCCGTAATAATGCATAATAATATGTAATAATCGCTACAAGACTTCAACACAATCATGTTTTTTTCACAACTCTATTTACAATCCACATCTGCCTGCTCGTGCTTAAACACCAGCTATGAACCTCCATCGCGAGATCAATCAGAAGCGAATATACAGTACATAGTCTAATTGACCTCGAAGTGGAGACTTTGATATAACACCATCTTGTTACAACGAAAAAAACTTAAGTAAAAGTAAAATAAAACAAATGATTAAGTACATCGAATTTCAACGACTCATATATATATATATATATATATATATATATATATATATATATATATATATATATATATATATATATATATATATATATATATATATATATATATCATGTGTATATATATATATATATAAGGACCGTCGTAAGTACACGGCTTTGTTCCTTGTGCTTGCTTTAGCTTTCTATTTTTCGATTTTCTCGGCACGGACGAGGCACGCGCCCTTTATTTTTTTTAATTTCAATGTTACGCGTTGATTGCATCGCATATTAAAGTAAAACATCTTTTTCATGCGTTCTTTTTCTCTCGTCATAATTTAAGAATGAACGGCAACGGCGTGACGCGAATCGAGTAAAAAAAACGAGCTGTGATGAGGCGTGCGGTTTTTAACACCAAACTTAAATTAAAAAATACACATGCTTACCTATATGTGTGTGCGCGCACGCAATCGTTCATTTAAAAGCATTGATTCTCGAGACATCAACAATTCTAAACAAAGACATGGCTCTCTTTTCTTTTATCCGTGCTGTTAAGTACTATAAGTGAATTTGATTCTCGGTTCTGTAGCAATGCATCTAGCGAGACGTAATCACTCTTTTCTTTATGTACAAATTTGTTTGAATGACTCTAATGCCGCGTGTACGATGCGATGCCAGTCAACAGATTAATTTAGAAAATTAAAAACAAATCGAGTAATTCTATATTTTGTTATTACTAAAAAAATAACTTATTTTCACTAGATTAACGTGCTGTTTTTAATAGCAAAACATTGAATGTCAAATGATGCACAATTCGAGAAATGCTTGATATTGAATTCCAATCGTTTCAAATGCTTTACGTCCGCAGAATCGAAAAATCGGCTTTCACATTAAGCGACAACTCGCTTCGAACTACTCGCAAGAACTACACGAGAAACTTTTTTAAATATTTTGATATCTGCAGTCATTATCGCTTACGGTATATATATAATATATGCATCTTCGGCGAGTAATGTTCCTTTTAATAATAGACAACAATAGTGTGATAGGACATCATACCTATTCTCTTGTTTTTTCTAAGGTCAAAATCTACTTGCTATTAATAATGGTATCGTGCGGAGCTCTTTGCCGATTTTCTAACGACAACCGAACTTAGTTTTTTGTTAATTTACTGCTACTTCGGAGAATTACTAAGAATACGACTCTATCCACTTTTTTTAGATTTCGCAATATTTTTGTTTCATACAAAGGCATATAGTAGTACTTGAAAACTGGTTCTTTCAATTCTGTGACTAAATTCAATCGAATAATATTAAAAATTTCTTCGACTGGTGAAAATGTAACAATTTAAAAAAAGATCATTTTCAATTTTCGTTGAAATGAAAACGAACTTTGTACTCCGACTTGGTTTTGTTTTTCAAATAGTCTAATGAATTTCGAGGTTCGTTGACAAAATATAAATTTTGCAACAACGAACCACGAGAATCTTAAGTACTGACCCATTCATCATATCACAGATCTTATCCGATATTTAACATATATATTTCTCTCACACTCTATTCGTATCATCTATCGATTTCTCTTTTCTCACTAATATCATCATATTTGCCGTAAATAGCATAATAACTTCATTAAAGTTGGTGCAGTAAAAGTTCATCGGTGCGTGTAAATTTTGCGCATCATGCAAAGAACGACAAATTCTTAACCGCTCGGCTTCACGAGCCTAAGTAGAATATTTTTAAGTTTTATTGCAGCTTGAGTGATATCTTTTCTTTATTAAGTTTGTGGCAATATTTTATTATTCGTGTTCTCGTTAATCGACGAGCAAAGCTACGACGTCAGTTTTGTCTTTGTAAAATCTTAAAGTGAGATTCGATTTAGTAAAATTTTTAATCACTTTCAAACAATATATACACTTAATCATCTTTGGAATTCTTAATATAAAATTTTTAACAGATCAAATAGATTGTAGGAAGCTCTAAAACATGTTCTTATTGATTTAGGAAGAAATAAGAAAATAAAAAAATGATTAAACATATCATTAAAAATGTCCCTAAATGATAGCGCACCGTTTATAGTTTTGCCGAAACAACATTTTTTATCATTTCTTATTTTTCTACCTCCAAAAATATAACCAATTTGTTACAAGTAACCACGATAAAATGAACGCTTTTGATATATTTGTATATGACAATGCATAAAAGACAGGATACACCCTGTATTCTCGTGATTACAAAAAACTATAAAATGTGTATATGAATTACATAAACAAATGTCACGTCAATACATTGCGTTACACCGTGGTAACTTAAACTTTTTATAAACGTAACAAGTTCGTATATATGCTCTCGCGATATTCTCGAATCTCAGGGCAGACGAATTTAGAAAGGCGAAACTGACGTCGGAATAGTAACTTCTTTATTTGAGCATCCTGAACTTTTATCTCGTATCTTTACCCCGTAATCTTTCTCGAATTGTCGACGGCGATATTTCGGTTGGCATGTAAACGAAATGCATTTTCGTGCATGAGAAGCACCTCGATTTCGTATAGAAAATATCAAAGCTTCTCTCTACATTTATTGCGGGTCTTTTCTACAAGAGGCTTCTCCTTGATTCGAAAGACTTTCTTATTTAGCGTTAGAGCGGTAATAATCGGCGATGCTCTTTTGTAACTCCTCGCGCTACAATTGCACCTGAAAAAATCAAAATTTTATTATTATTCAAATAATAATTAATGACGAATATTATTAGGTAATTAAGTTTTTTCTCGAAAAGTTAAATAGCTAAAACGAAAAAAAATAGCACCTGAAAAGCTTGAGTAGTGTTGGGCATGATGAACGGGTTTGTGGTAGACGCTTGTCGGAGATTGCGCGTTGCGATCTCGGCCCACTCGGAGTCGAAGGGATCCACGGGTCCGGTTCTCGAAGAGCTAGGGTTCATAACTGCCGAGCCAAGACTCATAGCCCTCGAATGCAGTGGCGGTGCTCGTCGTGGACTCGTTGAAAGAGGAGGCGGTGCAATGCCACTCGACGATGCGGTTACTTGTGTCGTTACATTGCCAAGCCACTGATCAGCGTTCGGTAAATTCGCTGAGCTCGACATTACAGGCACCTGTTTCAAACGAGAGGAGTAAAAAATTACTCGAGTAAGGTCTGGGCATAAGGAAGATGAAGGATATTGCAGCGAAAGAACAATGCTAACAGCTTCTTTTTTTGCATAAGTGCTAGTAACACATCGTTACTCGTGCGTAATAGAAGAGTCGGTTACGCGAACAAACAAGTGCCTTTTTTGTTAGATGATGAATGGAGCGTGAAAAATACGTCGATTCTAATGCTTTTCATTGCTGAGTGAGTTATCAGAAAGTATATACTCGTTGTGCGCTTTACTGCACCAACGAGCTAAAACTGTTTGAATGGCAGGTTATATGAGAATTAATTGCTACCATAATTAACGTTCAACTGCTCTATTACGCGTTATATTTTAAGAAGAACTAATAAGAAAATAAGAAAAATTATATGCATGCTACTAAGAGTCATTTTTATAAAAAAACCATCCTTAACAATATTCAAATTTTGTTAGATTGTAACTGATTTAAATTTTTTTTTACTTTTTTCGTAAGAAGACTAGTGATTTAGACCCTGACATGTTATGAACTAACTTTTGTACATATCAGTGTGCAACCTTTAGCCAGCTGGTGGTAATACAAGTTCATTAAATGAAATCAAATTAAGAAAAATAATTACCGCTGGCATGGCCATTAGCTGTACAGCCGTGGAATTAGGAATCTCAGTAATTCCACTCATATTCGACGAGATTCCCGATGCAAGCATCGGTGTTGAAACTGGTCCGAGGATTGGTCCAACTGCATTCGAGACAGCTCCCGCGGTTATTGGCGACGCTGACGCCAGGCTAACATTGGGCGAATCGATACTTCTCGGAGGGGGTATGGGTACGGGTGACCTTCCTGTAGTACTACTAAGTGATGATCCTGAGGCATTACTAAACGAGGGACTTGCAGCTGGTGTGTCGAAGATCGAAGCGATTGCCGGGAGCGCTGGTGTGCTGTTGACACTGCTGCGCGTGAGGACGGGACTGATAGAGCATTGGTTAAGAATTGGTGTGAGTCGGGCGTCCTTGCCGTTGCTATTGTTATTTGTCGAAGATAGCACGCTCGACGAACTCTCCTGCCAACTTGCACCGTCGCTTCCGAGTCCTTGACTCTCGTCGGTACTGTGAAGAGGCTTCGAGGATAACAATTCGCTGAAACTTTGGCCGTTTTGCAATTTGAGATCATCCAGTGAGTTGCTGTTGGTTACTGCAACATGAATTTTAATTATTCGACTTTTGAATAACAATGAAATTAGCGTGTTCGTAGATAATTTTACGTCAACGTAATTATTTGATGAGTCAGCATAATTAGAACATAATTTGAACATATTTTCATAGAATTTGTACCGGAATGAGTCAGTTCTATGAAAATAATAACAAAGTTTTAGGAACTTAATATATTTGAAAGCTTTAGCGGTAGTACATTAGCATATTATTTTGATATTTAAGAGAAATTTATGTATTAGCTTTAATCTATGCGAAAATATTCAAGGAAGTTTGCTCAAAGTTAATGCATAATTGCAATTGATACTACGCAAACGTTAACTTGACTAGAGTGCATTGTAATACATGCACTTGAGTCAATGTTCACGTTGATCCCATTTGATCAGTAGAACTTTCTAAAAAGCTAAATAAAATACATACACAAGTTTGCATTGTTCGACCGAGTAGTCGTGATAGTTGTGGTGTTTTCGAAGAGTTTCTTGACGACAGTACTAGTAGTGGTCTGCGTAAGAGCTGGTGCGAAGTCATCATTGCTAGAGAGCAGAGACAGTCCATGCGAGAGTTGCTGGCACATCGCCGATACGCTGTCGTGACCGCTTGGCGATATCTCGGGGATAGGACTCACTACAAAATTTGTAGAAAGAGTGTGAGTCAGCAAGTCGTTGAGAAATATTAAATGAACACAAACTACTGGGAAAATAGAGACTCATGCATTTGGTCGTGTAGACAGTAAAAGGTTTTTCCTATGTAAAGTTGTAGAAACATGTCGTGTTCGTTGATAAATATTGTCTACAGTACTATGCTTCTCTATTCTAAATAGCTACACGTTATCTACTTTCAACTGATATAGAGTGGTATGTTATATGATACGGAATTCGTAAGGAATGAAACATGTCGTCTGTGTCTTGTGGGTAACTGAATATAAGAAAGTAGATGAAATATACCAATGGACTGGTCTACATAACGATCAATCGAATAGTTCTTTACATCGTATAGAAATACATAAGTTTTAACATCATATCGAGAAGTGTATTTGATAGAATCGAAGAAATGAAATAGAGGGTGTAACGTTATGAATTATGCAACATTATCCAAAAGGCAAAAATAACCTTCGTCGTATCCTTCGAAATCTGTTGCCGAGACAAAAGAAGGGAGAAAAAAACACACGTTAATACTCAAGTCAGTCTGCCTGTCTCCACTTACTTCTAGGTCAAAGCATTTTACGAATTTCGTCCCGAGCTCGCTCGAGGACGAAATCCGACAAGCTATTCTGCTCACCAGGTGGCTTTACGGGAATCTGATGTGATAGTGCTGGAGGTAGACGCGACAAGTCAGTTGGTTCAAGGCTGTGACTACGAGTTCGTTCCAAATTGCTCGGCAAGTCATTGATGCGCAGACTGAGCTGACGTTTGAATGGTGAAGCTTGATTCAGCTGATTGAAACCCCGGAAGGATCCTTGGCGTTCCAGCATTGATGGCGTCGCGTGTGGCCTCTCGATCGCGAATGGATTATATGCTGGAACGTTCCTCGCTGGTGGAACATCTGTCGAAATAATGTGATTAGTTAACGATACATATATAGCCGGATTTTCAGTTGCTTATTTCATACTGCCATATTATTTAATTTTGAATGACTTAATGCTCATAAAGTTTTAAAAGAAAATCTGAGTTTAAATACATTTCTTGAAATCAGAAAACATTTTTTTCACACTGTGTTCATTAACTTATTTTCTAAAAGCAGTAAAACAATTAAGGCGGCTTTTATATAATAAAACTAACCAATAGCGCGTTCTCGACTATCTTGATGTAGCCTTTCAGTAAGGCTAGGCTGTCTAAAGCTTCCCATCCTTGTAAATGTGGAAGTTTTCTCATCGAACATCATTGTTACTCCGCACTCTCTGGCTCTCTCTTCTTTTCTCTGCAGACAGAGATTGAAAGCACATCCAACTGCATGACTCAGTCTTATTCCCTGCAACAAAATAAACGTTTTTGGTTAAATAAACTCTTCTATTTTCGTATTTACACCCAAAGTATTTTTATTAAAAGATAAAGCAATTCTCTCACTGAATCTTTCAAAGCCAAGAATCCATGGCACATCCAACGTCTGGTTGTACCATCTCTACAGATATAACTGAATCCTCTTTCGTGGTTGCCATCGGGAGCACAAAAAGACACCTTCTCTATTGTTTGATCAACAATTAGACCTTTTGTTTCATCTTCTACCACTCTAAGTCCATCACCAGATACATGAAGTATTGCTCGAACAGGCCTCCTTCTTGAGCTCTGAAATATCGTTAAATGATAATAATCATTGTAATAAGTCTTTTGTTCATTTATACAGTAAAACAGACAAAAGTATTACACATTAAATTTGGTTGTCATAATTATTCAAAACAAAGGATATTGATTTTATAATGTAGAGTGAAACTAGCTTTAGTAAAAATTTGATGTGCATTATTGAAATATAAACCTTATAAAAGTATTAAATAAGATACTTACTCTTAGTACTTTGAGAGCTTCATTGCAAACTTGTGAACCCCTGGACTCGTAGACTTCCACGCAGCCCAAGTACTGTAAAGTAAAAGAGGAAATAAACTTTTGGCCTGTTGTTTTACAAATAAAACAAGAAACTTTTCTATTGTTTTGAAAAGTCAAGTCTAACTTGGTCCACACAGACAGCACAGAGAGTCGCAATTTAGTTAATTTATGTGACTGGAACTGTCAAAAAGGAGACTTTCGAGCGCAATTTTTTAACTTTTCAAAAGTCTGCCAGAGGCTACATTTCAGTATATATCATTGAGAACGGAAAATGGCTTACCTTGACGTGAAAGCTGCAAGTGCCCTGTCTAACGGCGATCTCGTCTTCGTGGTAAACGTGCGGCTTGACCGCTTCGGGCGACTGTGATTCTTTCCGTCTACGGAAGCTGTCACGAAAGCTTCTTCTTAATCTGTCCATCCTTTTACCTGGCGATCTCTCGCGCTTCTATAACATCAGACAAACAATGGATGTCAGTCGGTCACACGTGCGCGCACACACATACACGTACACACACACGCGCATCCGTACACGTACACACCGAGTAAAAATTTTTGGAGGTTAGGTCGTCCGTCACACCTGAGAGCGCGCGCGAGACCGAGTAGTGGGTTATCGATCAGTAGGTATATGTACTTGGTAGGAGCAGAACTTGTCGATGTCGCCGGAGCTGCAATATCGATACGTCAGCGCCTGTTTTCGACACGCGACAAAAGCAACCACTACTGTTTCTTTCCTATTTGTTTTCCTCCCCATTTGGCGTGGGAGCAGCGGCTATTGTGCACTGTTTATCACTTCGACAAGCCGCGGACAAACGCACAGCCTTGGTCGGCAGTTTGTTACGCTTCTTAGACATTCTATCGATCGTAGATTCGAATGCTAGCCAGGTTGCTTGATTGATGCGCGGAGTAGCCGTTGTGCGAGTTACTAGGTCAACGAACTCGTTTTAGCTTACCGACGATTGAGATGACGGTTATACTCCTATATTGCGATTGTTTTACATATGTGACAGATTCATTGGCGTACGAATCATAAAAGTTGTTTGCCAAACGGAATGCGGCTGTCTATAAGGTTTTCGGATAAAACCCGTTACTCATTGATAGTCTAAAATATAACATGTTTTCGGGAATTTGCATGTAATTTAAAAAAAAAAAAAGATGTGTCGATAAATTCGGCTACTTCGATAATCGCAACGGACTCACGCAGGTAATTGCCGATATAAACATCAACTACATCCAAAGTCATTACTCAAAGTTGTCGTGTCTATATATATTGAAATGAGCCTACTTCGGGGATCCATAAACATAGACCGCTGGAAAAATGTCGCACACTAAATCAAGCATTGATCCCATCTATCCGTGATACTGGGGCCTCGGAGACAGTTTTCGGGCGCTAAAAATACAATTTCTCCCATGGCGATTAATTCGGTTACAGCTGAGAACAAGAAACGAAAAGTCGAACGAGGAGGAGCACTTGCTTGGTTTTTTCACCCCTCTTACGTACATGCGCGTAGCCCGCGTACGGGCGAGGGGAAGAGAAAAACCAGAGACCTGCGGAAGCTGTAGAAAGAAAAAAAAAAGGACGCCGAGGGGTGCAAGCAGCATCCTACAAGGCGCGCGCGCGATGTGTGATCGAATCTTCGCCATGGTTCCCAAAGACTTGCTCTTTCTCTCTCTCTCTCTCTCTCTCTCTCTCTCTCTTGCGCACACCCTGATACGCGCGGTCGTACCCCCCTCTGCGAGTGCGCCTCGTTATTATTTTCTCCTTTTGAAACTACGGGACCACGACGTCTGCCGACTATTACGAGCTTCGAGTGTAATGAAGCCGATACCGAGCGAGAGAGAGATGGATATCTCGTTATCTGGTTTGCAGCCGTGACGGGCGCTCGATGTGCGATATCGACGCGTGATTTTTCGGGGCTATCATACGTACATCGAGGCAGCGAGTTAATAGGCGAACGCGTGCGACTTTTCGACCGCGTGGGCGAAACGGATTTGACCCTCCCTCGACTGCCTACGTCGATCCGATCATTCGGTGAAGGGTTTCGATTTGCAGTCGACCTTCTGCATTTACTCGTGAACTTTGAGCAAATTTATCTTAGCGAATCACAACAATATAGAGTTAAAATCGAGCTAATTAAATGTCAATTGAAACGTCTATTCGGTTTCGTTTTAATCCTTTCCAGCGGAAAGCCGCCTATGAAATAGTAGTCGAACGTACTCTCATCTTTTGAATTGCGATGTCGTGCTCGTTAATTACGATTTTTGCTCGCCGAACCTGAATGGCTTTCTGATATCTTATCTGAAACGTTCGTGTCTGTGACGTCCCATTGTAAACAAAAATCTCTCGCCCATGAGATCCACTTGAAAAAGAAAACTAATTGTAAGATTGTAATGAACTCGCGACTAAAAAAGAAGTTGTAAACAAGCGCGCATTGCGCTCCAGATCGGTTCAACCCTGAACACCTTAATGAGTAAGACAACCGAAGCGGTTTGTTTTCGAGACCTTTCTTCGCGCGCGCACATCTTAGAGAAGTTGGCACCGATTGTGGCAAGTAAATTGCTCACATACACACGCGCACACACATTCCCTGTGCGCTCATTTCCTTTTTCTTTTCCCATTGTAGACGACACAAGCGCAAACACGCTGTGCGCCCCCCCCCCCCCCGCCTTCTCTCGACGATTATCACTCCTTTTGCGAGAGAACCACGCGCATCGTCAATGGCGAAAGAACGAACGTGTAATCCTCGCGCGAAAGTATCAAGCGGATTACACGCGCATCGGTCGCGCTCTAACGACATAACTCAATTGATGGCGCGGCTCTTCTCTTGCTTTTCATTCCATTGCGCGCATTAACAGCTGTTACGAGAATCGCTCTCTCCACTCGCGCGCCACTTGACCCACCGACGCGTTACGCTTATGTGCTTCGACGAGTAGTGGGTCTGCTATTAAATAGCCTACCTCGTAAACACACAATTACTACCCTTTATCTCTCTCATCTCTCTTTTATTTATTTATTTTTTGTTCATCGTGGGTAAAAATATCTCGTGCGGTGCACTCTGGATGTTTCGGCGAACGTGATCCGGCTTTCAATGCTCACCGTTCGCGCGCGAGCCAAGCTCTCGCGGCGTTCATGCAACTCGCACGGGGAGAGGAAAATCCAGGGGAATACTCGAGCAAATAGCGCCTGCAACGTTGCACCGTTGATTATTGACGTTGGGTGTTCGATTGGTTTGCGGCGCGGCGTTTACTGCCCATAACGACATTCGAGCGATATGGCCTTGATTCGGCGTGGGCATCTGCAACGTATCGAAAAATGCGCGCGCGTCGATGAGTCAACCTTCTCGCTGCTGCTACCGTGGCGCCGATGACGAACCGACTCGAAGATGCGCTCACCGTGACTTGGCTGGCCATTTCCGAGAAACCGACGACACGCTGCTCCAATCCAACGACGCGGTCGCTCTTCGTGCCTCTCCCCTAGGAGAGAGAAAGAGAGAGAGAAAGAGAGTTCTCGCGGACGCGAAAAACACGGCTACGTGGGCGTCCACGGGCGGCTTCGTTATTAATCTCGCGTGCACGCGCGTCGTTCGCGCAAAGGTATTTCCGTCGCACCGCGAGCTCCAACGCCGATGCGGCATGCGTTCGTAACTGATCGGCGCGACATCCGAAATGATCCGAGCGAGTCTCGAGTGATTGCCGCGGCGAAAACGGCATCCGAATGCCGAGCGTCATCGCGCGTTTCCCGTTGCGGCGGGCACGAAAATCGCGCGACTCGTCCCTGGTGCTTCGTCGCGAAAGTATTGCTCGCGAACGCTCTGCGGTTATAATCCTTTCACTCACACGAGTGGCTAGCTGTACGAGCAAGCAGGTGCAACGCAAGCGGGAAAGTTAGTATATATCCACGCGTATCAGACTTGAAAACGTAGCGAGCAAACCTTTCCTCTCTCTCTCTCTCTCTCTCTCTCTCTCATTTAATACAGCGACGCGCTTTGATTATAGAGCAAGCCTTCTCCTTGCGTCCGATTATTAATAGTCGGGCGATTAACCGGAATTATAGGAAATAATTGTCTAGCAATCTCCTTCGTAACAGCATAACTGGGTTAATTGATTTGGTTGTTCGAGCCACGGCATTTTGCCCCTAGTTACGCGACGATTTCGCACGCTTATCTCGCACGCGCGAAGAAGCGCGAGAAGGACTCTTAGTTCCGCCTGTCATCTTGGTTCGCACTCAGAAGCGATCGAGGCGTTGAATTTCGAAGCGATCGCCTTTGCTCTCTGTCCAGAAAGCCCCGGTAATGTTCACGTCCAAGGCCCTCAGAAAGGGGGAAAAGGCGCGGATCGGCAAGAAACAACGCTCGGCGTTATCGTGCTCTGACTCTCTCTCTCTCTCTCTCTCTCTCGCGCGCGCGTCAATTCATCGGCAGAGAATCGAGGCACAGGCGCATAGCTACGGCGAACGGCTCGGTATGCTGGTTAGCCTTGAGTTCGATCCCCCTTCTGCAGTCGCGCGCGACTCTACACATCTATCCTCTCCGTATCGTTGCCGCGCGGCTCCGACGTTTTCTCATGCAACGCGATTAGCAAAGCGCGCGATTAGCAAAATACGCGCGATTTCGGCGACGCGGATTCCAAACGATGTCGAGTATCCGCGCGGTGCAGCGGAGAGAAAACGCGCCAAGGTAGATGACCCAGGCTCGCGCGAGTGACGGGGACAAGAAGACGAGGAGAGTGAGAGAGAAAGAGAGAGAATAAAAAGCACTCGTTTGGCTCGTTTTACTCGCGGCAGCAACTTAATACGAGAGAGGGAGCGAGCGCGTTGTTTTGTTGTGCTTCTAAGCACGAGCCGCAAGACGCCCACATACTCGCGCGCGACGGAAGGAAAGAATTCTCGCGCGAAACTTTCGTCACTGGCTTTCTAAATCGCGCGCGCGGATTAATGCAACGTTAGCGAGCTTCGCTTTTTTTTCGCTCGTTCCTCGCGAGTCGAATCGGCGAAGGGGGTCACCATAGACGGTTTGCATATTGCGCAATGCAAAAAGTGCGCCGCGCGTGCGCGCACGCACAATGCCTTATTTCACCAATTAGCTCCGTCTTGAGGCACGTATAATTCCGTCCTCCCACACCTCCGCCAAAGGAGCGCCTCGTTTCTTTATTTTACCTGCGCAAATCAAAACAGAAGTGTTGCGCAACCCACTAGTTTTTCTCGGTACTACGTTATTAAAACCGGATACAAATTGCGCGTCGCGTTTTCTTTGCGGAACAATGCTGTCGAACGATTTTCATCTTTTGGGACGTGTGTTAAATGCATGGCGAGAGAGCGCGAGAGAGCGCGAGAGAGCGCGAGAGAGCACGTGACGACCGGCGTAATAAGCCGCGGCATGCGGAGGCAGCAGCAGCTGGGGACGTTTTCTCTCTTTTCCCCTGAAAACCCGAGGGTAACTGCTCTTTTTCTTTTTTCGGCACGCGTCGTGGGACGAGTGAGCGTGATATTACTCGCGTGATACACACGAAGCATCTGCCTCCTCTTTCACCGATTTACAGCGAGGGAGTGTGGTATTCTTTTATTTGACTTGATTTTCGTCGCTCGTACGTGTAGAATTTCATTTGTTTGGCTTAAGCGCAGAGTAGCTCTGAAGAGCCAGTTAAACAACAAAAGAAAACGCGTTTGGAGCGGTTCTTTGATCAATGGTAAACTTAAGTTAATAAGTATGCTCGCTTCGTTCAAGCTCGTGAATTTTAATGATAAAGCATTGAAAAACTTGTACATCTTTAATGATTCAAAGCCGTCGTACGATGGAACTTCGATAATACGTTGATAAATCGTGCCGTTGAAAAAATACGTGACTAATATCATGGCTATACTTTTGAAAATCCGTTAATTATTACTACACTAATTTATCGCAAGGATACATACGAATGCAAACAGCTATTGTGTAACGCTACGACAACCTTGCCTGGTTTCGAAACGTACGTGATGAAAAAAAGGCCATCGTTTGAAATGGAGCAACACGGTACAATTCTTAAGCATCGATCATCAATGATTCGCCAAAAAAAGACATCTAAACTCGTGTACATTTTAGATGAAATAGTCGTGGTGGGGGGAGGCAGCGTCAAGTGCGGGAATGTTGGTCGGCTGCGTTTACCTGGCCAACGGCCCCGAGCTTGTATGGTTCGTTCGCCGGCGAGGGGCGGGGAGCTAAAGCGGTGGCTCTCCGAAATCTGTGGCGCTACGCTAACGGTATCACACCTCGCGTCTCTAAAGAGTCAGCACGAGAATAAGAGAGCATGGAATATGGAAAAAAAGTCAAAGGAATATGTACCGAGAGACGGAAGCCACTGCGACGAGTGAAACCTCGTTCGAGGGGTTGATGAGTCGAAGGATGATTGCCCATGATAACGTTGCGTTGATATCAATTTCTGTTGAGCGCAAAGCTATCGTTTAATTACACACGGCACCTTTGAACGCACTCGCGCACAGAGAGTAACGTTTTCAGGACGCTCAGTAGTACGTTCGCGCACTTGGACACACACAACGACGACGGCAGCAGGGACGTTACAGCAGCAGCGACAGCAGTTTGACAGGCTTCCTCAGCTCGTCCGTGGAGGATCCATGGTTGCCGGCCGGGAGCCGAGAACTAGTCATGCGAGTATATGGCTTTGCTTTGCGAGGTAGCGCGCGTGCGAGAGACTACGTCACTTACACTCACACCCACAGTGTGCACGCACCAACACAGCTCGCGCGAGTAGTGGGGAGTCGAGGAGCGAGGGCAGGTAGACTCGACTATTTGAATGAGCGGAGCGCCAGTGCTGCTGCACTTTTTTTCAAATGACGCGCCCCGACAACGCGCACGACTTCGTTCCCACGTTTTTCCGTTGGCACGAGCACTCGGCCGTTACACCGGCCGTTGGACTTGTGTACTTCCGAGCTGCCGTCAAACCGAATTCTCCGCCGCAGCCTGAGCGCTTTCACACTGCCCGACGATGATTCGAAAAATTATCGTTGCAACTCCAACGGTCAGCCTCTCTGTGCCATCTGGCGGACGCTCGCTGCAGCCTCCTCGCTCCTAGAGCACTCGTTTGCTCGATGTTTGCACTTTTTTGCGCTGAAATTCCTCAAGACCAACACTACTCGAAGCTCCTACGATAAGACGCGCGTAAGAGGACGAAGAAATCGAAAACGAGACAGTAGACCCGTCGCGAGTGAGCCTGCGTGCGCGCGGACTCTCCGGTCCCCGACCCGGTACGCAATCCGATCGACGACTGCGGGGCCCGTACAGCAGCAGCAACAGCAGCAGCAGCACGCGCCTCAAGTCCAGTGTATCCCCCCAAACGTTTTCTCTCTCTCTCTTTTTCTCGCGAGTGAGCGCGCAGGGACGTAGCGTGCCGCGTGAGGTGCCCCTCAACCTACTTCGCGCATTCACGATAATATGGGTATTGCGATTAATTAGTGCTCGCCATCGATACCGTTGTCGAAGATTAAAGCTACTTCGCGTATCGCCGAGTGCGCCACTCTTATCGCCCTTATTCTCAAGTTTTCGCCTGGTGTGTGTAATGCGGTAATCAGGCGCAGGAAAATCGCGTCAGAAGGTTGGGGAGGAGGAGGAAGAAAAAAGTGCACTATTGTATTATCGATGATTCTCAAACACGCTGAAAAATATTACGAAACGATTTTCCACGATTTTCGAGAAGAGAACGAAGCAATGTTCTCGAGCAGGCGCTTCGATGGCAGTCAATTCGTGCGTTCATTAAACCTCACCTACCGGTCAGAGGCTTGCAAGCTAGAAAAGTTACGAGCGATGAATCTGAAAATACTCTCCTGAGCAGAAGAAAGAATAAAAAAAGATTTGCCACTTTTCTCGGGGGGCAGGATGCGGAAGATACGGAGCGCGCGACACTCGCGTGTATAGGTATACGCACAAAAGTGTGCAGCTGGCGGTACATCTGCTGGAAGCACATAGCCACACATAAAGAGCGAAGAAAGGAAGCACGAGAGAGACGGACACGCTATATGGGATGAAAAGGTACTCTTTCTCTCTCTGTGGTAATTCTTTGTGTGTGTGTACGTGTGTATATGTGTGCGGGGGGGGGGTACGTCTCGAAAACAGAGACTGTTCAAGCTGCGGAAAAGATGAGTAATTACGGCCAACAGAGCGATGTTTATGCGTACGGGTATGTTTCTTTATCAAGGGGATGCTTACCATTTGTTTTTTTTTAGTAATTGTTACGAATGAAACAATTCTACTTTTAATTGTTATAGGGAAGGTTAATTATATATATTCTCCAACATCATTCGTCGATTTAAATGCATTAACAGGGTCCCGTCGACAATGTCGACCGGAGTCTCATTTGCCAATTACTTCAGATGCGTTTACGTCATTGTGCGGATATTTAACCTTCGTACTAGTTGATGTGCTTATTGCTGTTTATTATGTATTGCCTATTGATAGTGCATCAATGTAGCCATTTAATAACTTCCTAGAATCTATTTTTACGCTACAATCAAACTGATGTTTCATTGGACAAAGACATGATTGCCATCTTCTTTTTCAATGCCTGAGCATAAATATCTAAGTTTCAAAAAGAGAGCAGAAGTAGACGTTGAGAAAAAGAAAAAGTTTCTGCTGAATAGTGATACATATCGTCTTGACTTTATTGTCTTGTTTTCTTCGTGCATGTTGGATAAGAATATTTGGAAGGCAAAAATATTCAACGTTTTGGCAGAACTTCGTAAACACAAACAATTCTCGGAGCGAAAGAAATCACAACCATTATAGTAGTTATGATACGTTATAGTAATCGATCAATTAATTGTCCCTAAAGCTGAGATGCTATGAAGTCTATTATTGTAACTTATACCTACTAGGTACTCCTATGAATTTACGGGATACAATAATCGTTTAACCGTCATGAAAATATTTTCACATTTAAATATGGTTAAATTAGTAAAAGATTTCTCAAATAAAAGTGTATTAACACGGAGAAAATAGAGAATTTTAGAATATAAAGAAAGTGAAAAACAAGTTTCTAACAAGTTTTGTCGGATAGTTATTATTTTTTTTTCTTTTCTTCTGCTGAAACATGACTTCGGAAATATTTTACTACGACGGCCAACTCTTACCACAACAATAATTTAGTAAAGCTCCGAGGGTGAGGATTGTAAGAGTGCGAAAATCTATTTAATCGGAGTCCTTTCATGTCAACAGCAGATTTACCCCTATCATTCTCGTCTCTCTTTCAATAGAGACATTATATTATGAGAAATAAGCATTATAATTTATCGTAACCCGTAAGGCATAACACTTAATTTATTCTTCGATTCAGTTGCAATACTCGCATTGCAGAACAATTGCTTCGTTCGGCTCGCCGAAATGGAGCAAAACCTTGTTAACTTCATTTAGCTTCTCGTTAAAATAAAATTCAATTTAAATGCATTTTCTCCATCCTTATTCGTAACCCAGAAGTAATTTACAAACAATCGCGTCCCTGTACCTTAGAACTCCCATTAATTGTCTCCGACCGGTAGTCCTGTCGCGCAAGTGTAATCGGGATCGCCCTTGAAAATAGCGCGATTCCTCTTTAAAAAAAAAGTGACCCGAAGATTACGCCCTCGAGGGTTGCCACTTATGAAAATACAACGAAGTATCACTTACCAGAGGAATTTAAATCAGCGTCTCTCTCTCTCCCTCTCTCTCTCTCTCGCTCTATCTATCTCTTGCTACACACACTCGAAGAACCTGTAACAATAAGCACAAGAAAAAAAAAGGAATAAGTATCGGTAAATAAGAGCGTCGCAATTAATAACATAGTGCGATAAAAATAAAAAAAGGTTTGAACCGGAAACAAGACCTTGCGTACCCAAAGGAATTTGATGCACCGAATCCAAATCCAGCATCAGAATTAATCCAACACGTCAGGTTTTCAAGATGTCTTAATCTATAAGGTCGAAAATCACGGTTTGTAGCTATATTCGTTGTTATCTACTACCACCAATAATTTTTTTTAACGGATAGCGTCGTTTTAAAGTTGAATTCTTACCCTCAAAAACCCTGCCTCTAAATCTTGTACATATTTTGTTTTCAGTGAGATATCGAAGATTGAAATTTAAGTATTGTCGATATTTCACTAGTACCTTGAAAACCTGGTAAATTAAGATATGAACTGATATAATATATTTATGTTCTATGAGACGTAGAATACAAATTGAATGTTAAAACTACTTCGGATTCTCAAAGTTTCTAACCTCAAATAAAAAAGCACTATTCATGGTCCAGAAAAGAAGATATGAAGAGGAAAATATTTTTATATGTTGTGGTATATCGTATTCCCTCAAAATTCGGATCCCCTAATCTAAGGTTACAGGGTTCGTGATCTAAGGAAATAGGGATTCCGGGGTTTAAGGTTATAGATTCGCAGGTTACAGGGTTCGGGAGTTGAGGACATTGAGATTTAGGGGTCTGACGTTATATGCTTAAAGAATATGTGCCCCGAGATTTGAGGAAATACAATACACCTTCATATATAAAGATATTGTCTTCTTTATATCTTCTTTTCAGGACAAAGAATAGTGCTTTTACATTTTGAGGTTAGCAACTTTGAGGTTTTAAAGTAGTTTTAACATTCAACATGGATTTTACGTCTCATAGAACATAAATATACCATATCGTTTTATATCTTAATTTGCCGGTTTTTCGAGGTACTAGTGAATTTTCAAAAATATTTCATTTTCAATCTTCGATATCTTAGTGAAAAAAAGATATATAAAAGATTTGGAGGCAGGGTTTTGTAGGATGACAGTTCTGCTTTAAAATGGCTCTATCCATTAAAAAAAATTATTGGTGGTAGTAGATAACCGCGAATATAGGTAAAAATCGCGTGTTTTGCACTTATAGGTAAGGATATCTCGAAAACCTGACGTGTTGGGATGGGTTAATTATGATGCCGGATTTGGATTTAGCGTATAAAAATCCTTCGGGTAAACAAGGTCTCGTTTCTAGCTCAGAAATTTGTTGGCCTGTATAATCGTCCATCGATTATACATCGCGCGTGAATAGAAAAAGCAGCTTCTCTCTCTCTCACAGTACGTGCGAAGGAATGGCTATCGTTGCACTTTGCGCTCAGAGAGAAAGAGAGAAAAAGAGAGAGAAATGGTCGCTTTGATTCGTGTTGCATAAAGGAATCTCCTGTGCCCCTTCTTTTGCAGGACGAGCGCGGTGGTTCCCACGAGCACCCTATGGGAACGCCGAGTAGCACCCATACGCGATGTATTTATAGGGGTGAGCGGTTCTCTCTCTCTTTCTCTCTTTCAGTCCTCGCGTAACGTATTACACGAACGAGCAAGCGCACAAGTGCCACTACAACCGATCCGTAACTTTGGATGACTAACGCTATTATTTTGATAGCCTGCTAATGAGGCTCGTAGCACTCGATAATGCATAAGCTTTTAATACTTTTTACTTTGCCGTTCGCGCCTACGCTGACCCGTGTCGATCTGCACACGCACTGCTCGCGTCGTATGAATAACTTGTGAACGTTAACGCGTTCTCGGGCTAATATTTTTACATGGGAATTGGTAACGTGCGCGCCGCGCGAAATACGTTGAACCATACGAAGTTCGATTGTTGCACGGCTGATTCGCTCTGCCGTGGAGCCGACGAGGGCGTGTCAGCATTCATCAAGCAATCATTATGTATTGCAGATATTCCATAATTGAACGGCAGGCCAACTAGCTATCGATCCGGCTGTTGTCGTGAAAAATCCGCTGATAGTTCCAATTTAGCTGTTACCGCGCTTATATATTTGACTGATTGGCTACAATGCGATCGCAATTTGTTCGCAGCAATTACGCATAATTGATTGCCTGAGTTACTATCGCATTTCACACTTACTCCTGCGCGGATAGTTACACTTACTATTGAAACTGCAGTGCGGAGGTTGTAGCGCGCTACGGGCTCGCTTGGAATATCGACGTTGTTAGCCTGCTTTGAAATAAAAACCGATGGTCGAACGCACGCTCGCAAAGAAAGGCGTTCGCGGAAGATGCGAGCGAAACAGTGCGACCTGCTGGAGGCATATCCTGCATGCATCATTTTCACAGGCAGTCTACCTGCTTCCGCGCGCGACGCATGAACTTTTTAACATGCAACGAGGGAGCCCCTCGCGTCGTGCACACCGGAGTCCGCGAGCTTGAGGTGGCACTCGACGCGAGGAGCTTCGGGGGTCTAGACTCCTACACGTTGTAGCGTCTATCCGCCCGTATCACTGCATCTTAATGAACTTTGCGTATGCGATGGCTTGACTTCGTGAAAAAGTACCGCGTTTACTTTACCAATTCTCCAATTCCAGACTATTAATATGCAAATCTTCAAATTCAAGTGTCTCCTGCAGGTGTCATGTTGCACCCGTCGTGTACTCGTACACAATATCATCAGTGCTGTGCAGTTGGTCTCAGATGTAACTCTTTGTGTTAAAGCTTTATTTCGCCGTCGAAAGTTTTGCAAATAAGTTTTTGCTTATAAATATTGTTGTGATGATAAGTCTAATAGCTTACTAGACTAGATTACAATTGAAGAACGTTATTATCTTATCTCAGCCTTTACCGCCTTTGTCTTTGATAGTGTTTCAGTATTTTTTTCAACGTTTGTATCACATCTATCACATTGTACTGCTCTTTTACTTTGAATACTTTAACTGCTTTCAATAAAAAGGAATTTGGTATTATTCCAGCAGAAATTTTATCTAATAGTTGGCTGAAGCTGATGTTTATTATCAATGAACTAATCAACTATGGTTTGAATATATAATATACTTGAGCAGATAAGTTCTAATAAAGTTGTACATCGTAACGTTATAAGTATGAAATATAAAAAACAGTCAATTTGGATATTTCGAATTTCAATATAAATAATTTACAAACGCAACCAGCCAAAGTGAAAAGTGAACATATTTCGTATAGCACTGGAAATGCGGTTCATATATGAATAACATCATAAATTAAAATCATCCAAGGATTAAAATAAATAAAAATAAAATTAATTGAAGGATTTCGCTGAGGCAATATTTATCAAAAATTGAAAATATGATTGCTCTATAACGCCAAGAGCTATCTACGAAAGCAAGCCATGCATCAAGCGATATATGTAATTGACCAAATGTGGATTTATAGCTTTAATCCGATGGACTGAATTATTCATACCTTGAGCAGATCTCGATCTAGATTAACCATGAAGTACGCTATTATTTTCGCATTTGTCGCCTTTCGTTTTGTAAATATCACGCAATTTTTATTTACAATTCAGTTGATATTTACCTGTCCTTTGCTTAGAAAATATCATCGGCAAACATTTTCCTAATATAAGTATACCGAAATCGTTTAATTGTTAAGTTTATGCAAAATTTAAAATCATGTAATTTTTTAAAGTTTTAAGAATTTTTGTTCAGAGAATTAAATGCTACTCAAAGATATTCCAATGCAAAATAATTATTGAATGTTTAAACTTTCAACTACTTTCATTAAAAACAAGTTTAAAACTATGTGTTTAATAAAAATGTCATTTAACAGTTGTCTCAATCTAATGTCAAATCCGTTGTCGTCGAATCCATTGATTGTGGTGAGATCGTAACAAGGTGTCAGAAGCCAAAGCAAAGCTTGGTGAGCTGATCCCCTATGCTTAATATCGGCTAAAAGAGGCTATGGCAGAGGCTAAGAAACAAGTTGCGATTTTGATTAACGAATTGATGAAAAAAACTTCCAAGATCAGCGACCAAATGTAAGAAGCCGTTCAGAAAATCTTATATAAAGTGGATCTATTCGAAGATAGTGGTTGTGTAAGCTAACTATATTATAAACAAGTTCGCTGGTAAGCACTCAAAAAAACACGTTGCCGTTGAAGACCATAAATAACTCTTTCTAGACTGTTCTCTCGTGGAGGAACAATTATATAAGTACATTGAACTATCTGACTGATATGATATTTTATTTGATCGTATTATTACATAACAGAAACAATACAAAAATAAAAAAAGCTAAGCCTAATAAAAATACTCATGAAAGAGTCGATGTATTCACAAATGTTACTTATTTCATGATTACATTTTAAACAAGAAAAGGATCGATATTGAGAGTTTAAAGCTACTCAAAATGAGATTTTATAGGCTAATAATTTTATATTGACCTCATAATAGGAGGAGTTTCAATGCGAATGGTAAGGGAAATATTTCAGAGTTGATAATTTGCATAAAAATGCCATAACTTATCGCTGAGACCCACCAATCCCTAATCACATTGAGGTACTCAAAAACTGTTTGTTAGATGTATACATATAATCTGCGTGCATCAGAGGAAAGAGAAAGCGAGATCTACGACATCTGAATCCAGTTTGAGTCTTCATACATTTGAATGTTATTTCCGTATGTTTTATTATTTTGAAAAAATATTTTCAGTTTTATACTTTTTTCAATATCACATCAGGTCTTATGAAAAAAGAATTTATATTTTATAGAATGTATCTTTCAGCTATTATGTGATATAACTTACATCTACACCCCAATATTGTACAATCAAAAATTAATTCTCACAATTTACTAATTCCTTTCGTCTATGGATCAATGATTGTGATTACTGGAATCAATAGCTAAATGTACTAATAGAAAAAATGCTTATCTATTAAAATTTCTAATAATAATAATACGTTTATATTACTAACATTACATACCAATAATAAAATACCGTTTTATTATCTATACGAATTCGTTATATGTTCATGAACTTAATTTAGAATTTTAGAATGTTTGTTGTATCATCAAACATTAATTACCATTTATGTAGATATGATCATCAATATAAATTTTGTATTCGAATAAAAAGCAATTGGTTTGTGAAATTATAGATTACTACTTTATGTTTTATTCCTATAGGATTGTATTTATAATCAGAATAAATATTTTTGACTTATTGTAAAGATAATATTAGTATTTGACGTTGATACATAGAATTGAGTAGGTAAGTTTTGTAAAATATCTATACGTGATAATATAGGTAATAATACAGATCGTTGAATAAAACTACAGATCCGCTGTCCTCGAATTTACCGACTATAGTATTCCACCGACTGTGATACTCTAAAGAATAAGCTAGTTCAAAGAAAAGCTTGGTAAGTTGCTTGACAAAGCTCAAGATGTGTTGAAAAAGAAGCTCACCGAGGATAGGAAACAGGCTCTTTGATTTTGATCGACCAGTCGAAGCATAAAGCTACTGAGATCAGTGATGACATTTATAAAATTGTCCAGAAAATTTTGGAGCATATTAAGCTCGAAAGCAAAGTACAAAAAATTCAGCAATAAATTTAGCGAAAGCTAAGTGATTTAGGAGTTATTTCTTACGGTTTTAGCTTCAATCAATAATTGTGTATATATGTATGTGAATTTTTATGTTTATAAATAATTTATTAAAGAAACAAAAAAACGAATTCATTCGTGAACCTTTATTTATTTAACGTAATTATTAATTGTATTGATATACTATATAAACAAATATGATACATTTATATCGAATTATCGAACATAACGTATGTGAATGCAAAACTATGTTGAAAATAGAACTTATATATTATCGGAAAAATAATCGCTATTTCTATGTAGTCTGTAATAAATAAAGTCCCAATCAAACAGAAATTATAAATACAAATTCGTTAAAAAATTTCTTTTTCTTTTAGTTACCAATAATCTTTACATAACTGAATATTCATTTTTACTTAAATCATCTTCACTTGTCCTACTTCAATTACTCTAGAAAACGTACCGCGCAGCCAAAAAAATCCATATTGCTCAAGCGATTAACTATTTGTTTTACCGATCAACCTTGATTGCAAAAATCAATATGACACGACGTCTACTATCCTACCTAAAAATACGCAAGGATTGGCCATTCCTATAATAACGTATTCAGTTTCAATATCATCGTTGATCTTACTTCTCAACCAAGTTATGTTATAATGGTCTGCTTTCAATTTTCATTAAATGTATTTCATTTATATTATGCAGTTTGAGTTACGAAAATATCACACAAGAAGTTTGTACCTTTAGAAAAAGAAAAGTTTATTAGATTTGTTTCAAAATTGATTTGTTTTTCAGTAAATAAGCGCCATCTGCGTTAGTCAATTAAATGTTAACGAGCTAATCATTAGCTTCATATAAATTGAAATTTCAGTGTTCATTCATCACATAAATTTCATTGATCTTAAAAATTAAACACAGATACCGAAGAATTTCCGTAAATAAAGATGAAGTATGTGACAATAACTCATTTACAGCGATAATTCTCTATTTTAATAAATTAAATTCAACATAAATTCATATTTTGAATAACATACTAAAAGAATATTAAAATTGTATATACTGTAGGTATTTATAGTACCATTTTTACTTTAAGTCAAGGAGTCTCTTTAATACTTATTATAATATTAAAATTACTACGAAATTATATTATTAATTTTTTTACTTTTTTGGTATGAAATAATTTACGATACATTTACAATGACTCTTTTTTCATCTGATTATATTTTCAAATAGCTAATTTAATTTTATTACCAGTCAAGATTGTGCGTAATCAAAATTAAAGCAGTAAATCATTAAAATTTCGGGTAAATGGAAAAGAATTAACGTTATCTCCGAATTGCGTGATATTTTTTTCCTTGATTAAATGGCAACATGTTAAATCAAAATAATGTCAATGAATACAATATCACAATGTTATTCCAAATGCATTTCCATTTATTTGCAATGATAAAAAAATCAAATAAAGACCGCATCTTAAGATTTGCCTAAGTCGATTAATACAGGTTACGTAATTGAAGTAATTTGCATGATAATTTGGCTAAATCAACGTACGACAGTTCAAAATGTTGTTATATAAGCTCCAACAGCTATCAACAGTCATTCAAAGCTTCGGTAAACCCCTGTCAGAGCAACAATGAAGTTCGCTATCTTCTTCGTCTTCGCTGCCTTTGCCATTGTATGTATTCCAAAGATTTTATATTATTTCAAAAATATTATTTTTTTTCAACAAATAGAGAGTCTTAATGAAATTTTAGTTAAAAATATTATATAGAAAGGTATTATAAAGTCACTTCGAAATTGTTTTGCATTGCGAATGAAGTATAATTTATTAGACATCGTTTTAATTAGTACGCGTGAATTCTCTAAAGAATTTGCTGAAAATATAATTGGAAATGTTTAGGTGGCTCAGGTTAATGCCAAATCCGTTGAGATAATCGACCGTGGTGCGATCGCTAATGCCCTGAAGCAGAAGCTTGCCGAAGTCAAAGAAAAGTTGAATGATTACCTGGAAAACGCATCAGACTACTTGAAACAGAAGATCGCTGAAGCTCAACAACAAGCTGAGGATATGATCAACCAATTAAAGCAAAAAACTACCGAGATCAGCAATGAGGTTTACAAAACTGCTCAGAAAATTTTAGAAAAGCTGGGCGAACTCGAAGACAAAATCGTAGAACAAGCTAAAAAAATTGTTGCCAACAAGATGTCTTCGTAGGATGAATCACTGCGAGCCATTACCTGCTCAAGAATACTTTATAATACAGTTTATATTTCTATCAATGATTTCAAAATTTCTTCATTGATACATTTTTATGTTCTTTAAAGTCTTTTTATTAAAGAAGTTTCTAGACAATTATTTATGTGTTCAATAATTTCATTAGAACCTTTATAAATAAATTGTAATAACGAAATATAATAACAAATACGAAGATAGATAATATAAGATTGCAATATATTTCGTTGGTATCAATACAATAATAATTAAGAGGGCCAGCTTGTGTTCAAAAGTGAAAATTATGTCTTCTTTAGTGTGGTATAAAAATCGTCCAATCGTATATGATCAGGAACGTTTTTCATATTGAAGTACTTAGTAAATGCTTTTATTTTCTTCTTTTTAAGTTCAAAATTTTCATGTAAGGGCCCTAGAAAGATACCTTATCCGTAACTTTTTATTTTATCAAAAAATTTCATTTATATACGTTAAAGTGAACGAATATCTTTTTTGAAGGACTTATTTTTTTCCTTTAAATTGGTACTCAATAAATTTGCAAAAATTTTCATAAAAATGATAAAATTGACTATTTCGAAAAATCTTACTTAATCTGGAGTATTGATCAATAGGAAGAAAATAAGTCCTTCGAAAATTATTTATACTCAATCTAACTTTCAGAAAAACATGGAACACCAAACTTTTTGAAAAAAATGAAATTTTATGGTTAAGCAAACTTTCTAGGGCCCTTAATTGATATTTTAAGACTTAAACAGAAGAAAATAAAAATATTTATCAAGTCATTAATAACGAATAAATCTTCATTATCATAACTTTATTAGGATGGTTTTGGTGCTATAGTAGAGAAAACTTGTAATTTTTCCTGTTTAACACCAACTAGTCTCCTTAATTAACTAAATAATAAATATAGCCAATGAAACTAAACTAAACAATAACTAACTAAAAAATAATTATTATTATACATTTTTTTGATAATTTTTGAACGATGTAAGACGATTGTAGTAAATAATGATAAACAAAGTAAAGAAATTGGAACAATTAATTTTACGAAATAGTACTTTATTTAAATGTACTGTATTTAAATGGTACAATAATCAATCTATCATATGATTACTCTTAGTTATCATAGTCAGGCTGTAACATGTGTCGATGTAAGTAATGAATAGGTCTCTTCTCGACTCTGACTTCATTCATCACAGATAACATGCGTGTTTCCTTTGCTAGGTAAAAGTCAAAGTTCTACCTTATCTAAACGTGGCCTTGCAATAAAACGTACAGGTAATGATAACAGCAACTTTTCTCATTTAGAGATCAACAACCAGTCCATTAGAGACTTTTTAAACAATTTTTATTAGAAAATAATAGCAATTTCTACTATTAATAACAAACTTAAACAATGGAAGAATGAACAAAATAAGTATTTTCAATATTATAGAAAATAAATACGATTACAATTTATTAACACGTTTAATTTTTAGTAGCTACATCCGAGCTACATGAAACTTTGATTTGATTTTCATCGAACGTATTTACTTAATTATCAAATGTTTGGATGATTGATGCAAGATGTAGAGAATTATTTCGCCTCTTTCAGAAGGCGCATTTTTTCCTTCAATTCATTGTTTACTTTTTCCTAATGTAAGCTTTCCTTTATAAAGTTTCTTATCCAAATTTATTACCGATGAATCTTGCATGATTTGTTTGAGTAAGATTATTGTGTAATGAACAAAATTATAAGTAATTGTGTAATAAACTTAAAAATAAATTTATTACTGATAATTTATAATTGAAACCATAAAAATTTAGACTAGAATTTATCATTATAAAGTAATATATTGAAGAGCAAATATATTTTTATGTATATGCGGTATTTCAAGCGGCTTACAATATTGTTTAAACTTAGGAGTTGTTAAGTAGTCAAAATAATATTTTTCCTTTGAATCATTAGTTTACGTTATAATATAACCGCTAAAGTACATCTCGTGTATTATTCTCATGTACGTGTTTGTCTTTGTAACAAGAGTGTAACAACCGATTAAGGTTTTTGGTAACACTAATTGACAATTGTAAATTATCATTTAATATAGTTGTTTGTTCGTTCACTGGTAGCCTTGAAAATAGTGATGGATAACATCAGCGAAATATCGGCGAAATTTGTGAGATTAGCATAGGCTCAAAAGGATTCAAAGGGAAAAGACATTACCTAACTACCCATCCTAAGTTTAAAATATCTTTTTTATGCGCTTCATTTTCTTCGATAACGATTTCAAAAATTTGAAAAGAATAATTCATTCTCACAAAAGTTCTACAAACTGCTTTATTTATTCTTTCGAAATTTATTTTGAAAATTTATTTTTTTTGCGGTTTACGTAGAAGTATAAATGACATTAAGTAATTTGCGCTTTGGTAACCCATAACTTTTACATCGCTTCAGAATCCTTGAATTTTTAATTAATAAAGAAATATCAAATGAGGCGCAATAAAAATGAGAAAAGTTGGAAAGTTTAAACTAATCAATATCAATCACGCTCAATTCGAAATCCTTGAGTCTCTATCTGGTAAGAATATTAAAAAGTATAATTAATAAAAACAAAACAGATGAGTTTTACGTCAATGTAGATTAAATTTTCAGCTGTTTGAATGACTTCTCTTGTACAATTTGTGTTAAATCGAACAAATAAAAAATGCCTAATTTTTAATTTTTTTCAGACGAACTGTTATGAATGCTGATAAATGAAGTAATTAGTCATATGATTAATGCACTCGGTAGTTAAGAACTGAACTATATAAAGTTGGGTAACCGACAACCGTCATTCAAATTTTCAGCAAGATCTGATCAGAGAAATCATGAAATTCGCTGTTTTCTTCGTTTTTGCTGCTTTTGCCTTCGTAAGTATAATCTAAAAGTTTTACATTATTTCCTACTTCAGAGAGCCAGTTGGTGTTAAACAGAGAAAATTATAAGTGTTTTTACTGTGATGTAAAAATTGTTCTAATAAAGTTAGCTTTTTGAATATTTTTCGTCTTGAAGTACTCAGTAAATGCTTTTTGTTCTTTTTGTTCTTTTCAAGTCCCAAAATCTCATGTTAGGGCCCTAGGAAGTCCCTTTAACCATAACATTTTATTTTTGTAAATTTACTTTACTACCCTTTTCTAAACGTTGAAGTAAATGAAGATTGAAGGGCTCATTTTCTTTTTTTAGATCGATACTCCAGATTAAGTGAAGGACTTTTCGAAATAGCCAATTTTACCATTTTTATGAAAACTTTTACAAATTTATCCAAAAATTATTTGAACAATGATTTCCGTTCACTTTGATGTTCCGAAAAACGTAGTAAAACAAATTAAAAGAAAAGTCGTATGGTTCAGGAAATTTTTTAGAGCCCTTGCACAAGATTTTGGAATTTAAAAAGAAAAAATAAAAGCATTTACTGAGTAATTCAAGATGAAAAACGTTCAAGATCATAACTTTATTAGAACGGATTTTACATCACGGTAAAAATGGCTTATCATTATCACTATTTAATTCGAGCTCCCTCAACTCGACATTCCAAAAATAGGGAAAAAATCTTAACATAAGTTTGAATTACCGAATGTTCTAAATGTTTAAATTACATGCAATATAGGTGGCTCAGACTTACGCCACTGAATCCATCGATCGTGGAATAGTCGTCGACGCTCTGAAAATAAAACTGACAGAAGCTAAAGAAAAGCTTGAAGAGTTACTCGATAAAACAGATAATTTCCTAAAGGAACAGATCGCTCAGGCCAAGAAACAGGTTGAGGATTTAATTGACCAAATAAAAGAAAAAGTCGGTCGAGTTAATGACAAAGTATACAATGCGGCTCAGCATCTCTTGGACAAAGTTGGAGAATACGAAGACAAAATTACTGAGAAATTGAAAAACAAGTATGGCAAAAAGTAAATCAACTTCGATGTAAGCTGAATCAATTTTCGAGATCATAATATTTTCAGTTTTTCACTGTACTTTCTTCATTAAATAAGCAAAAGAAAAACTACTATGTTTGATGTTCTTAATGAAAATTTCAATCATTCCTCAATAGAAAACTTATTTGAGCTTAGTCTTGTGTAAAAGTATTATTTTTATTTTTCACACTCTGAATAATATTTGGCGAGCTATTTTTTATTCGATAATAATAAGTAACGCTACGGTATTAGAACATTATTTTCATTGATATATCTGTAAAAAAATTTTTTGGTGATGATCAGTTTGAGAAAAAATACTCACTCACTGTAGAAAAAAATGGGTAATAAAACTCGTGTACCAACAATTAGGCATTTGGACAATTCGAAACTTAAAATGTTCTTCTACAGTTACATACGAAAGATTCTCTTGCGATCTACATTCTACGATAAACTACAAGAATAATGCACTATTATAAGATAACTTATCTAAAGAATTCAAACAATTGCATTGCTTTATCATAGAATAAGAAAAAGATATCCTATGCAATAACGAATATAATCGGACTTTAGGCGCCTTCGAAAAATTCCAAATCACTATTTCTTACACAATCTACCTATGATCATTTATCTCTCTCAGGTTTTACATCAGCTTATAAGATTTTAGAAACTAACCATTTTACTGTTGGTAAAATATTATGTTTTTTAATGCTCGGTAGTAATGATTTACTTAAATCTAAGAATTACTTAATACATCCCTTATTAACTGAATTTAATAGACAGCCCTATGTTGGGAATGAAGCTGTAAAGATAATTTGATGATTTTATAATTCCAAGAAATTAAATATTCTCAATATGTGCGAAAATAGAAGTCTTGTCGTGTGGACAATAGCACTAAAAAGTACGACGTCAATCCATGCGTATTGTACTGATTTGCCTAAATTTCCTTTACGATTTTTCATATTGAGAAAGACTGAACGCGCAACGGAAAGATCCAATTTATTGGAGGCATTTTTGATATATTGACACAGGTGTCATCTATCAAAGCGATTTATTAATCGAGTGAT